AAGGAAGGAAGGAAGGAAGGAAGGAAGGAAGGAAGGAAGGAAGGAAGGAAGGAAGGAAGGAAGGAAGGAAGGAAGGAAAGAAAGAAAAAAGGGTGGGGTTTTTCTAGCAACACAGGCTTAGCTTGGCCACTGTTTAAAGTCTATTAGAACAGTTTATCCTTACTTGCAACTTTCAGGTGTTTTGGTCTTCCAGTGCATCAGCTTCTAACAACATACTATAATCATACAGTTGGAATGCAAGATACCTGATGGGTCCCATGTTGCTTCTTTCTCATCTAGATGAAGCTGAATTTTAATCTTTGATCTGATGCATCCAAAATCATTAAGAGGTTGACCCTCTAAGAAGAAAGGGTGAATTGTGGGCTTTGTTTCATTGTCTAAACCTTTCGACTAATGATCTCATTAATGGTACTTTGATAGCTTTATATAATGCATTAGAGCGACATGTAAGCCAGACAGGGTATGGGGAGTAGGATTGGATTGTGGGTACTTTGCACTTGTTAAGAGAATTTAAATGTTAAAAGTAGGCTAGAGTTACATATACTGTACATGCCTAAGTGATCAAATCATTATATATCTAACATCTGGTCTGTGATCTCTGAGAAGCACACCCATTTCAGCTGCTTTCATTTAAATCAAAAAGGAAGTGCAGTTCAAAAAGATCTCCTCTCTCATTTGGAAAAAAAAATTTTTTTATATGTTTAATTTCCTTGGGGAAAAAGGATAAATGGCCCACAATGAGATCGAGTGGCAAGAGGGAAGGTGAGGTATTAAATATGTTGGTGGACTGGTAAACAGAAGGTGGAACCTGAGGTATTTTCAACAAAAATACAGATCTTTTATGCACCTTAGTGATACAATGTGCAATTGAGGCGCCTTCATAAACCTTAAGCCGGGTTAACCCAAACTTGGCATAACTGGCTGGAGTTATGGGAGTTGACGTCCACAGGTCTTAAAGTTGCCAAGTTTGGAGACCTCTGCCTTAAGCAATGTACACTGTCTCTCGTTGTGGAATTCTTAGGAAATCCACATTCCTCTTTTCTCCAAAGGATTCAGGTTTTGCTCTCTGAAGTTCTCTAATCCAATAATGGTTTGGTAATATTGTTCCAGTAGAAATTGCAGGCGCGAAAATGGTTATTATTGCCTTTTTAGCCCAGCTCTCTACACAAAAGTTGTTCACAGGAGTGCATGACAGATTAATTTATGAGAATGAGTAAGCGTGCATTTTTTTGAACAAAATCAAAATATCCTGCATTGAAAGAATTACATTTGCCAGGAGAAAATTATTTCTTCTTTGCATGCTAGTTTTCTGCATGCAGGCTGTTTCTATGATTATATTTTTCCTAACACCTCACACCAACTTTCTCCCCTGCACAAAAAAAAAAACCCTCACATGTTTTGCACATGGACCTGGCCTTATGCCAAAGAGCCACAGCTGTTATGCTCAACTTAGGAGGAGAGAGGACTGAATCAGGAAGGTCCTTTCTTGCTGTCACCATGTCCTATAACCTGGGCTAGCTACAGGGTGTGGCCAAAACAGTTAAGAGAGTGGCCACAATGACATGAGGCTCAACCTTTTTTAAATATCCAGTGCACATTAAGGACAAGCTGAGTTTTGATTGTACTATTGTGGCTGCTATCTTGACTGTTTTTACCATACTCTTGTTGTGGCCCACTGGCAGCTGACGGAGGTAGCAGCAGAGTCAGACAGCGAGGAGGTTGGGGAGGAACCTGGGCCAGTCCTGGAGGGTGAGGAAGGCTCAGAAGAGGGCTCTGCATCAGAGGCAGAGATGGGGCCAGGGCAGGCTGGCAGACATCAGCTGCCTTCGGGCTCGGACAGCAGTGAGGTGGGGGAGCTTTGGGAACCGGTTCCCAGCCTGCGCATGCGCAGAGCTGCCAAAAGGAAGGAACAATTAAGAAATCAGGGTCAACGTGGGAGTAAGGCCACAGGTGGATGATGAATGGCCCCTCCCCTCAGGATTAAACAGGAGCAAAAGGGGAGGGGGCTTTTGCAGGAAACCATTCATTTGTTCATTCCAGCCTCGTGAAGATTTGTCTGTGTAACCTAGACACTCTGTGCCCAGCCCTTCCTTGTCAGCACTGCGTGTGGAAATATTTACCAGGCAGCTTTCCAAGAGAGATAAGGTCTGAGCTAATAAGTATACCTTTGCAAGACTGTTTGCCAGACTGTTGGCTGAATGTGAATGCAATAAATTCACATTCATTTAATAAAAGAGGTTTTGCCGGGACACAGAGTTTGCTTAGTGCTTTTTGGGGAAGCCTAGGACAGAACAACCCTGTGGAATCCCTACTTGTACATCAGATTATTTTCACACTCACTAAGAAAACCAACCTAAAGATTCAAGGTTGTTACTGATGTCTCTCTCTGTCTCTTTTTTTTTCCCTAGGCATCCTCAGGAAGAAAGCTGGAGACCCCCACGCTTTTTGCCTTTCCCAAGAGCAGCGAGACACATTTATTCAGAAAGTCAGGGCCTGGACCATTCATGCTGCTTCATCGCACTCAAGATACCATCAGCCCTGCCATCTTGGGGTGGGGTGGGGAGACTGGGGAAGGAAAGACTAAGGCCAATCCAGGATTGAGAGGGCAGGTTTTCCGTATTTGCCTTGGAATGAGCTGGGCACCAGATGAGGCAGCGGCCTGAAGCTTGGCTCATAGCAAGCTGATCTCAACAGGTCTACGCAGAACTCTTTGAAGAGCTAATTTATTTTTGAAGTTGCAGGTTTAAGAATTCCTTTTCTTTTTATTAGACCCTCCTGCCTGACACTCACAATTCTTGTATATTTGGCAGTAACCTCCCATTTCCTCAGAGATAGATCTGCTCCCCTCGACGGCTTTTTTTCTTTTCTTATCAGACTGTACAGAGACAGCTGCTTTGCCGAAACCATAGTAATACTCTGAACCCCGAAGGACATAAATGCTCTCGTGCAACTTTCCTTCTAACTTCAGCCAAGGCTTAATTTCTGATCAGAGAACTGCTTTAAAACCTTGTGTCTCTCTCTCTCTCTCTTTTCCCCCTCCCTCTCCCTCCTCTCTCTCTCTTCCTCCTCTCTCTCCCCTCTCTCTCCTTCCTCTCTCCCTCCTCTCTCCCCCTCCTCTCTCTCCCTCCCCTCTCTCCCTCGCTCCCTCCCTCTCTCCCCCTCTCCTCTCTCTCTTCCTCCCTCCCTCCCCCCTCCCTCCCTCCTCTCTCTCTCCCTCCTCTCTCTCCCCTCTCTCTCCCTCCCCCCTCTCCCTGCCTCCTTCCCTTCCAGCAACAAAAGAAATGTTTGTGTATATGCAGAAGCAGGCTTTCTATGGTGTCATTTCATAGCTTCAGATAAAATCTTGGTCCTAGATAAAGTTCTCAGGACAGGGTGCTTTGGTACTAGTGCAACTAGTCCTCAACTTACTAATGGTTTAGTAACCGTTCAAAGTTACAACGGCACTGAAAAGTGTGGCTTATGACCGTTTTTCATCGTTATGACCTTTGCAGCATCCCCATGATCAGCATCCCTTTGGCAACTGGTTCCTATTTATGACGGTTGCAGTGTCTCAAGGTCATGTGATCCCCTTTGGAGACCTCCTGACAAGCTAAGTCAATGGGGGAGCCAGATTCACTTAACAACCGGGTTACTGACTGATCGATGGCAGTGGTTCATTAAACAACCGTGGCAAGAAGGGGAAAAAAAAAATCTTAAAATGGGGCAAAACTCACTTAACCCATGCCTCTCTTAACAACTTAAATTTGGAGCTTAGTTGTGGTTGTAGGTTGAGGACTACCCAGTATTGTGCTGAAAAAGTCTTCTGCACTTTATCATTCCCATTCAATGTGATGGCAAAGAAGAGCAAGGGTGAAGGATATATAGAGGGGGCGGCTACCTAGAGTTGTAGGGAGATATCCGAGGGACATCTGCAAGTCTTCAGTCTTCCATAATGGCATCCTCTCCCAGTGATGTGCAATCTCCTTGGCTTCCCATGCTTTGATTCCATCCCATGGGGAGGCATCAAGGGAGCGCTTCTCCCATGAGCTTTTCCCAAAACCAGGAAGCCGCAGAACAGCAGAGAATGACATAATGGGAAATAAAAGGACTCCCTTTGCCCCTTCACCACCAGAAGGGCAGAGCACAAGGAAGGATCCGAAGGTCTGCTGTGAATGAAGTAGGGGCAAAAAAAAACCACAGGAGCCTTTTTTTTTTCCCCCCACAAGAGTAAGAACTTTTTCAGAAATGGCTCTTTTGGCACCGTATTATTCCAGCTGAGAATGGCTTGTAGTGCTGCAAATTACCATTGGGCAGTTTGCCTTCTTTTCCTTCTGGTGCCTTTTGGTTTGTGTAAGAAGTGGGCAGGGACTGGTGGCGGTAGGGAGTGATGGGAAGGGAAGGCTGCGTGAAGAAGACCGTGTCTGGATCCCATGCCAACTGCTTTCACATTCTTGTACAAGATGGAATGATTGCATAAGAGAAGAAGAGCTTTGCCTGCAAGCATCCTGATAGAAACCTGGTTTGTGTTAAGTTTTGGCTCCAGCTTCCTCAGCCTAAACTCAGTTTGCAAGTCCTAGCAATCCCACAAACAACTGAAATGGCCATTTTAGGTCCCGCAGGAACAAGCCCTAAGTAGGCATGGTATAAGATATAGCCAGAGGTATATTCAGACGGTTTTGACCAGTTCTGGAGAACCGGTAGCGGAAATTTTGAGTACTTTGGAGAACCAGCAAATCCCACCTCTGACTCTCCCCGCCCCCATCTATTCTTTGCCTCCCGAGTCCCAGCTGATTGGCTGGCTCTTCTTTGGTTGCCCTACATAGGAGAACGGAGCTGGAAAGCAGGTCAGTGGGGTGGGGAAGGAATGGGAATTTTGCAGTATCCTTCCCCTGCCATGCCCACCAAGCCACACCACGCCCACCAAGCCACGCCCACAGAACTGGTAGTAAAATGTTTGAATCCCACCACTGGATATAGCTACTCTTTATGGCAATAGGATGAACATAGCAGCACAGAAAGAACTGAATACTTTTTGTTTGGTTAAATCAACAAATGTAAAACAAGGTAAAGAATTTAAAAGATCTTCAGCTTCACCCAAAGCTCAGTTCTAAGGGTTGTTTGTGGGACAGCCCAGGTGAGAATAAATCCATGCTTCTACTTTAGTCATGCCATTTATGAATGCAGGGAGCATACTCTGCAAATACAGGGTCAATCTTTGCATCACTAGCTGCGTGCTGAACTACAATTCCCAGCACCCATTGCCATTAGCCTCAATAGCAGGTTCAACGGGGGGGGGGGTGTTGCAGTTCAGTCACACCTATTGGTTTACCCACCCCTCAAGTTCAATAATCAAACAGTGGGGGATCCAGAACAGATCCGTTTCAGTCCCTGATGGCCTCCGATCACAGGGGATGCTCTCCCAGGTTTGATGAACAGTCTGATTCAGCTTTGCATTGCTTCTTACTATGAAGAATTAATAAGTTTGATCATCATCAAGGGATGACTGTGATCTGAAAAAGGACACTTTTCTAGTACATTGTAACCTGCATGTTATTTTTGAGTTGTTAAAATTCTTTCAACCAAGTCCTCGTTGTTTGGGCTTTATTTATAGGCTATACACAGAATTATTTTGTGATCTACATACAGAATTATAGCACATGCAAGAACCTGTTAAAAACAAGGATTGGGATGGGCACACAGCCAAAAAGGAGAGAGCACATTTTTCCGGCTTGCTCCATCTGTTTTGTACTACAATTCCCACCTTCCATTGGGAATGAACAAGACTGGAGAAGCGGAAGTTGTGTTTCAGATGCCTGCATACTAATACAGCTAAACATGAATCGAGAAGGAAAGAAATCTTAATTCTTTTTCAAGCAGCTTCTTTTGTGCCTTTCAAACTAGTTTCACCTGCAGGCATTAACAAGTGATCAGAATGCTTATTTCTATTCTGTTCATGTTTCCTCCTGCTGATTTCCTAAGACAGGGAGAAGGATGGCCTAAGGACCTACTGTCCTTAGAGCAGGGGTCTCCAAACTTGGCAACTTTAAGACTTGTGGACTTCAACTCCCAGAATTCTACAAGTTCACAAGTCTTAAAGTTGCCGAGTTTGGAGATGTCTGCCTCAGAGTGTTTTGCCCAGATTTGAAACAATAGACCAGGGCTGTCAGGGTGCATCATACGCTGACCACACCTGGTTAAGTGAAGTGGGGGGGAAAGTCCTGATATGTCACGTGACGCCGCCGTGATGACGTGAGTTCGACATTGCTGCAATAGACCTATCTCAATAAATGAAACTGGTGTACTACTAACCTTGCAAATGCTTTATCAAATGGGCTGCCACTTTAAAAAAAAAAAATTTTGCTCCTCTGCCAATAGCAGCAGTCTGGCACAGAAAATACACAGGGGATTCTTGGAAAAGTCTTGACAGTAAAGGGATGAAGGACTGCACACAATTTGAAGGCCCTGCCAACTTCATATGGACAATGTCCTCTGAATTATGCAGAGCTATAACTCCATTCTGGGTTAACTCACCTGAGAATTAAGTCAGCCTCTCGAGACCTCAATAGCCTTAAGAATCTAAAGCAGTGCCTCAAAATGCAGTCCTGTTGCTTAATTTCCTTTGAAATGTTTATGCCAGGAAACAACAAAGCTGAAGACTTTTTTGATTCTTTCTTCACTCCAGATGTACCTTTAGGACAGGCACCAAGGTCAAAAACTTTTTTTCCCCTCCCATTGTTGCACTTGAGCCATTGTGACATCAGAGTAAACTGCACTGCAATCAGGGACAGCTTTCACATTTAACCCTACACCCAACCAATCCCAATAGCAATCAGGTTATAGCAATATCCTGCAACAAGAAAATCCCCCTTATGGTGGGAGGCTGAGAAACTGAGCTGGTGCTGCCTGATTAAGGGTCCCACAGATGCTCTACAATTTTCCACGGGACTACATGACGCAGTGAGAGCCAATTTGGTCCAATGATTAAGATGGAAGACAAGGAGGAAGGAAATCCGAGTTCTCATCCTGATAACTTTGACCCAAACACTCTTTCTCTAAGCTGCATTAACAGAAGGATACAATCAAGATCAAGTGAGATACTAATACCACTCTGTAAAGCCTGAGTAAGACCACACCTAGAATACTGCACCCAGTTTTGGTCACCACACTATAAAAAAGATGTTGAGACTCTAGAAAAAGTGAAGAGAAGAGCAACCAGGATGATTAGGGGACTGGAGACTAAAACTTATGAAAAACGGTTACAGGAACTGGGAATGACTAGTCTAGTGAACAGAAGGACCAGGGGAGACATGATAGCAGTGTTCCAATATTTGAGAAGCTGCCACAGAGAGGAGGGGGGTCAGGCTATTTTCCAAGGCATCCAAAGGCCAGACAAGGAATAATGGATGGAAACTGATCAAGGAAAGATTCAACCTAGAAATAAGGAGAAATTTTCTGACAGAACAACCAATGGAATAGTTTGCCTTCTGAAGTTGTGGGAGCTTCATCCCTGGAAGCTTTCAAGAAGAGACTGAACTGCCATTTGTCAGAAATGGGGTAGGGTCTCTTGCTTGGGTGGGGAGTTGGACTAGATAACCTACAAGATCCCTTTCAACTCTGTTAATTTAATCTAATGTGTATGAGGAAAAGCAAAATGGACACTTTTCCTTAAGGAAACTGCTTTGATTTGTCCATTATAGTAATTAGGAGTCAAGATATACTCAAAGACAACAAAAATAATAAAAGAGGTAAATGTGCTAATAAATTGCAATGTGTACCTTCCCCATAAATTGAAAACAGATCTGAAGAGGAAAGACTTGCGTATGGGAGTGATGCAACCTCTTGCTGTACAAATCCACAAAGATCTTAGAATAAATGCAAGTGGAGAGTTGTGATCTAACAATATCTGGAGGACAGTGCCTCACAAGAGTGCACTCTATCCGTCTTTTAGATACATGCTGGAGCTTCAATAGCACAATTGTGGCTGCCATCTTGTCCTTTCTGACCACGCCTTGCAGACACCTTGAGGTGTTACATCTCCTTTCTAGTTTGCTTTGCACCTGCACGATAACCTC